CTCATGTTCATTTTCTCATCCACCAACACCCCTAAGTCCTAGGGAGAGCCACTTTCCCTTGCAAGACAGGGCTGATTGATAGCAACTCAGTTTACCACTGTAAGTGTTATACTCTGCCTGATTGGAGCTGTGAGGAAGGGTCCTGGAATCTCAGAACTCAAGTGAAAGGAGTTATTGCCAGCCTTGTCTACACCTTTATGTATATGTATGTATTCTTACATATGTGTATCAATGTATTCATATTCTTCATACCAAGTAGATGGGCACACAAAGCTAAGCATCACCAATGAGCAGTTTAACATGCAGCCAAAAACACTGACAGTGAAAAGATTAGAACAGAAAATAAACCATAAGATCAGAGTCCGGACTGAATTATTTGACAGCTTTAAGAAATGCTGCCATCTCCAGAAGATAGACTGGTATTACACAAGAGCTACAAACACATCTCTAAACCAGAGAATAAAATTAAACCTAGAGTTTAATCTGTAACACATTGGCTTTGCTCATCCCCATGGCAGGGGGTTTGGAACTAGATGATCTTAAGGTCCTTTCCAGCCCTAACTATTCTATGATTCTATGGTGCATTTAGCTATGTAAATGACTCCTATGGTCACCTACTAGGGAGGAGTGACCTTGTGTTAGCTCATCCCCATGGGAGTAGGCACAGTGCAAATGCATTCCTTGTTTTCCCACTGCATGGGAACACCCACTGGTGCAGAAGGCTGAGAGGCCTTTAGCTCCCATCTGTCCCATGAAATAAAATGGATCTGAAGCTGAAGGAGACCTACAAGGATGCTTCATCTCTTCTCTCTTCATCAGAGACTGTAGTGATAGGACAAGTGGTGATGGGTTCAAACTGAAACAGGGGAAGTTCAGGTTAGATATAAGGAAGAAGTTCTTTACTGTGGGGGTGGTGAGGCACTGGAATGGGTTCCCCAAAGTAGTGATGAATGCTCCATCCCTGCCAGTGTTCAAGGTCAGGTCAGACAGAGCCTTGGGTAACGTGGTCTAGGGTGAGGCATCCCTGCCCATGGCACGGGGCTGGAACTGGATGATTTTAAGGTCCTTCCCAAACCAAACCATTCTGTGATTCTATGCTATGCTATGGCTGAGCACTCAGACAGGGCTGTCAGGAAAATGCGAGACAAGAATCAGGAGCAGGAATTGTGTGGTGTCAAACCTTTCTCTTGGCAAGGGCCACCTGATTCAGTAGGCATGAAGTAGGGTTAGGTCACTTAATCCGACTGAGGACCCCTCCACATGCACAGCCATTTGTGAGGGTAACTGCTTTAAATAAGGTTAGAGGCACACTGTCCTGCAGCATTAATTATTCCCATGCTCATCCTGAGGAAACCCTGAGAAGAAGAAGTTTTTCCTTTCAGTAGGTGGTGTTAAATGGTGTATTTGTATGTATGCAAGTGCTTTCACATGCAAAGAAAACCAAACCTGAAAATCTCTGCAGAAAAGTGCTCTAGAGGGCTTCCAGCTGGTTTGAAGGTTTAAAGAGCCTGTTATAGGATGTACCTTCAAAAGATACATTTAAATGCTGCCTGCTTTATCCTCATTGTTTCTAAAGTTGAAAGCATCTCTGATAGTGACTATTCATTCTCACAGCAGCTGCATGCAGAGCAGAAGCAGGTTGATTTAACTCCATCTCTGCCATGTCCTGGGGAGGCAGAGGGAGAAGGTAGCTCTGCAGAGAGGAGCCCAGCACAGGCACTGAGGGACTGATGGATCAAGAAATTAAGTTCTTGGAGTAATCAAGTCTTTCAGCATTTGTCAGGATTAACTCAGTGAGGGAACAGTGTTATTTTGAGTGCAGGATGTACATCTGTGTGTCTAACTGTGCTTTGCACATCATGTTGCATGGTTCTGATGGCTGTAGGAGCAGTGCTTCATCCTCCCATGGAGAGGCTTGTGATATTCCATCTGCTGCAATGCAAGATGATCTAGAAGTAGGGAATGGCTGATACATGGATGTCCTCAAGACAACTAGTGACAACTATCCTGGGGCAGTGTCCATTGCTGAGTGCAGAAAATGCTTTTACATCCCTCCTTGAGCTCTGTGGTTGTAAAAGATGGCCCCAAACTCTTTCATGAGACCAGATTTATTCTGTTCTGTGATGTGAGTCTGGAACCATGACCAGAAGTTGACTTGACCACTTGCTACATGAGGATGCTCTCATGGGTGGTCAGGAAGTTGTTTGCTGTCTATACACATGGCAGACAGGGAGGGTGAAGGTGAGGGGCTCTTCCCAAGCCTTCTTCAAAGCTGTGTAGGTCTCAGCACTGAGCAACAGCATTCCTGTTTGTTTGCCCAGCGCCCCTGACCTAGGACCATTGCAGGGGATAAGGGCATGCAATGGTTTATCACCATCTTGAGAAATACCCACTTAACTCACTCTCACCTGGTCCAGATGCTGACAGACTTCAGAGCCTCACAGCAGCAGACAGGAGTCACAGGACAAGAGGAAGTGTAGGTTGGAGACTGTCTGCAAACACCTCCAAACACGCCATTCCAGCCCTTCAATCTCTAGCACACAGTTGGCTTTTCAGTGGTTTCAAGTATGGGGTTTGCCACTTCTCGTTTTTAATGTGCTCTACAGATCTCAGCCTTAGGAAGCTGTCTGCAATAATTTATTGCAGCTTCCACTGCTTGATTATATCTTGCTGCTCATAATGACATACTTAGAGCAGGTTTTTGCCGTGGGCCATCCCAGACACCTGACCTTTGTAAGAAGCAAGGGAAACTTCCAAGTCTCAGAGCAGAAAAGTCAGAATGATGCTGTCTTTCTTTTATGTACCACTCTATAGTACCTGGTAGTCCATGAACTTCCGTATTAATCATGCCTAAGTCAAGTTTGTAGTCTTCGGCTTCTTGGCTTTAGACAGTTGAGTTCATATAATGATCTTTGGATGTTAATTAATGTAAGAGTTTGTCCACCTTTTCTTTCCTCAGGTGGTAGAAGGATGCTGCCAAAGTCCCCAGTTTGGAGTCCCCAGTTCAATTAAATAAGTGCATCAGCTGGCTGCTCAAAATCATGAGCAAGTAGAGCAGAATTGCTTGTTCAGCTGAATAAACACGAATTTCAAGTTGCACTTAAAGATGTGAGATAAGGTGTAGCCAAATTCAGTGGACTTTCTGGGGAAACCCAGGGGTTTTCAGCTTCCCATTAACTGAACCTGAATCTGGCCCATATAAAGATCCATGAGATTTCTTCTATCACAGTGTGGTACATGTGGCTGCTGGTCTGTTGTTGGCTAAATCTCATCACCTTCTTTTATACCTTCACAAAGAGCATCTGTTCAAGTGTTTTCCTGAGCAGGCTCCTGAAATTGCTTCCAAGATTTATGCATTTCTATACTACTAAATTCCTCAACTCTATTTGGCCTTCTTACTTGCTTAAACTGATTTATGGGCACTGACATCCACAGATGCAAGATGTTCAAGCTGAAAACCCGCACCCATTTGTTTTATTGGCAGAGTTTGTATTTATTCCCTGGGAGGCCAGTTCTGGTCCTGTGCTTGTTGGATGACATGTGTGGTTTCCAGGCAGACGTCCATTTAAATAAGAGTACTGTAATTAAAAGGATCTGGCTAAGGAAATTGCACAGATCAGAGCAAACAGCTGTGATTTGAAAGGAACAAATACTGTTGTTGTTTTAAATAGCCAGCTCTCGACTTGCTGCCAGAGATCTTACGGATGAAAACTTTCATCCTTTAGATCTTATGGATGAAAACTTCCATCCATTAGACCTTATGGATGAAAATTTTCCTCCAAGTGTTAAAAACATAAGTGAAAAGAGCTCTGTTTCCCCCTCCAAAATATGCGACAAGCAATAGAGAATAAAAGGAAGATAGTCATCAACTTCAGCATAGCCTGGAGATGACTAACTTCAGATGCGTGCACAACAGAGAGAAGCTTTTGAGGAAAAGAAGTACTGCATACATCCTATATTATTCATGCATTTGTGAACAAAAGATGAGATTCCTGAAACAGAAGTTTAATCTGGGAGCATAACTCATTGCATAGATACTCTTCTTCCAGAAAGAAAAGGTCCCCCTCCTGCTTTGTAGGTACAATTCAGTGTGGAAGGGATTGGTCTGAATCAGCCTCCAGCTTCTGAAGGGAGCTGATGGTGAAGTTATGGGTGATGGAGCAGCGAGGGGATCAGTGTGGTGTATACCAAGGATTGGGAAGCAAACCTTAGTGATCAGTTCTGCTCTTTATTCAGTACGGAGACCCACACACCTCCCATCATTTCTATGTACCAGGAGGAGCTTTTTCATTGCCCTGCTGAAAGAGCTGATAGTTGCATGCAACTGTGGATAATGACTGGATCTTTTTCCTAGCTTCTCTGTCCTGCAAACGCTCAGTGGGCATCCAGAAATGTGATTCCTTCATGAATCTTCCCACTAGCAACTTACAACTTACCTTGTTTAATAGAGCCCCTTTCAAACTTGAAATCAAGCATACACTTAAAACAGATTGTTGCACCTGGCCAGTGTCTTTGATAACTTGAAAAAGTCAGACCCAAAAAGAAGTGCAGGAATTCAGGTAACACCAGCTTGAGATCACTCCAACAATGGGGTTGGGGTTGGCTGGGGACCAGAGGAGAGCTGGGATTTACTTCTGCCTCTTCCACTAGTCCCCCAGGGAGCTTGTTCTGTCTCTGTTATACAAGCATTGTAGAGTTACTCGTTCCCTTCTAGCGAGCCTTGAGGTCTGATGGTAAGTATCAACGGCACCAGCTGGTTATTAAGTGGATTTGCTATGTTTGCTAATACAGTTTGTACAAATCAGAGCAGAGAGGGTCATTACAGGCTTAGAGAACAGTGAGAAGTGAAGAATCTGAAAAGAAACTGCTTTCTGTCCAAAACCCTCACAGTCATCTTTTCCTTCCTCTTTTTGAGTGCTTTCTGGGTGGGTTGTTTTGGCTTTTTATTTTTAGCTTACCCTTCCCCACCCTTTATTGTCATTTATTGTCTCATTCTATAGGAAAACCTCTTTTTCGTCATGGAATACCTCAATGGAGGAGACCTCATGTTCCATATCCAGAGCTGTCATAAGTTCGACCTTCCTAGAGCAACGTAAGATGTTCTTATTACTTGCAGGTCACACACATTTGGTTGGGAGAAGCAGAAGCAGCAGCTGCAGACACCAGTTGATTTCATTCCCAGCTCTGCTACTGTCCTGCAGAGGAAACCTTGGGCATATCATTTGACCTCTCTACACGTTACCCAACTGCAAAGCAGAGATAATGCTTGTGCTGGAAGTGGAATCATTCCCTATCCCATCTCTGTCAAAACTGAACATACCGGACATGCAGTTCACCACCGCAACTCAACGATGGGTTTGGAGCAAGTCACTTCCTCTCCCTGTCCTCTTTCTCCTCCCACAGAAGGCTTTTTAGAGCCTATCCACACAGTCAGATCCACACGTCAATCAGAGGTGACCTTGATTTACGTTCATGGTCAACCAGGGAAGCTATTTCTGTCTGGAAGCATTGCAGATGCTGCTCATCAACATTGCATCTGCCTGCAGGCTTTTCCTTAAGCCTGACAACCAGGGACCTCCTTCTGTCCCTTAGGCTGCCCTGCCTGCTGGGTAAGTCCCCTTCCCAGAGCAGCAGTCCCTCAAATAGAGAGGACATCCAGAAGGACCATTCAATCCAGCTGGGGCCTAACCTCTGGAAGTGCCTCCACCATCTGTAAACAGCCCCAAGCATGCCTAGTATCTTGTATTCATGGCCTATAGATGAGGGTTATTATAAAGCAACCTACAGGTATCTGCTGTGAATCTGGGGTTGTTCTTTGTTACTCTTTCTGTTCTTGCTCAGCCCATACTTGGGGGCCGAAATAATGACATTGTGGATGCAACCTCCACCCCAGCTGGGCCATCATTAAAGAAACCCCACAGATGCATTTTCAGCCATCTGTGGAACCAGATATCTTGTTCTTTTACAACACAGGTGGCCTGTAGGCAAGCTGCGGGACCTGATTTAGCTGAGGTTCCCACTCCAGTGATCAGAGGTGAAGCTGTTTGCTAGAAGTAATGGGATTTTCTCTTTTTGCCTTTAAGGTTCAAGGGGGGGAAGGAAGGGGAAGAGATAAAACTTATTGAAAGTGCAAAAGGTAAATTTAAACAAAAAATGAATACAGCCACAGCAAATTAAAAATGTATTTATCTTTGATGAAAGTAAATAGAAGAATTAGAACAAATGAAAGGGGCTTTAAATCCTTCTGCAAGCAAAAGGTACTTTGAAAGTCAATATTGAAACCACTACAAGAATTAGATTTTTATTTAATAATTCAAAACCCCAAACCAAACCCCCATTGAAATCAGTGTTTAATGTAATGGCTTATTTCAAAAGCATTTAAATGTTCAGAATTAAGGGCCAATGCACGGAAGACTGAAGAAGCATCACCAGAGGGGCTGAGGAGCCTGTGATTACATTCCCCACTGGGAGAGCGCATTCACTGCACAATGGTGATTCAACCTTATACTGCCCCTTTGTAGCAGGATGTGGTGGTGTGCTTCCAGCAGAAATGTGTGGAGAACAAAGATCTCAAGCTCAAAAAAGACCCCAGAGAAAGGCCACCACACTGCTGGGTAGTTCATGTCTCCGGCAAACTTTCAACAGCAAGTCATAAACCTGAGCTGCAGAGAGGTCTCTGACAAGGCAAGGGGAATGCCTGTGGTCCCCAAACCGTGATGCACACCAGCCTGCCCATTGCTGGGATCGCTCCACTGTTTGTGCAGCAGATACTGAACATGAGTAATTACAGCTGTGTGTCTGAGGCATTAACTGTAATTTGCAGTTCACAGCCTGGTGCATCACTAACTCATTGATTTACTCTGATTATGTAAATCAGTGCATAGATACAGGCACCACAAGGTCTGGCTTCATTGTGTTGGGAGCCATAGCTTGAGGCAAGGAAGGGTGAACAATAGGAACTGCATGGTTGTTTTTCACTCTTCGGTTGATACAAGACAATCTTGGGATGGAAGGACAAGTCCTCAGAGTCAGTTCCATGTAAAAAGAAATGCCTTCCAAATCCCTGAAGATGAGTAGGCTCCGGGTGTCTACCATTTCCCCAAGTGGTTTCAGCGGGAGCTGGGCTGCTAGCCATGTGGCATGCTTTTGGGATCCTCACATCATCCATCAGCTACCTGCAAAACCCAGTTACACCAAGCTTTCTAGAGACATCCCAAACCTTCTGAGAACTTAATGGAATATTGGCTTCTACTGAGATCAAGCTTCCATCTTTTTGGGTCTAGTTGAAAACGCCTGTTGAGCAGCATCTGTTCTAATCTGTGCCTTCTGTCACTCAGGTTTTATGCTGCTGAAATTATATGTGGCCTCCAATTCCTCCATTCCAAGGGCATAATTTACAGGTAATTTTACTCTTCAGTGTCTAATATATTAAACTTTTCCTGCTTTCCCTGAAAGCACCAATGGAAACAGGGAGACTGCTTCTTACTGATGTACTTACTGATATTGCATTTCTATGCTGATTTCCTTTTTACAGAGTCTGTCTATTTTATTTCAAAGGGAGAGTGTAGAAAAGGCAGTTTTGAGCCCTTTTAGAAAACCCAGTCCTGTTTCAGTTAACATTAAAAGCAAGTGCTTTGGTACATTTACACTGAGTCATTCATACAACACCCAGCACAGGCACTCAGTTTAAGCTTTCCATGTATGAAGGTCAAGCTAGCCATGAGGAATTTGGTGCATTTGCTATGCTGATCAGTGGTGACAATCTCAGCTCAAGTAACAACAGCAGGAAGACAGTGATATACCTTCATTTTGAGGTTATTAGCAGGTCTGCTGTGTGCAGTTCCATGGGGAGATGGGTTTTATCTCACCTACCCTGAATCTCAGCTAGCTGCCCAAACTCTTCGTGTAGCTAGCAGAGAGGAAGGGGCTTTTTTTAGGTTCATCGAGCCTGTGTGTGAGAAATGCCTATTTCTACCAGGAGGCTTTACAGGGAGCCAATGGGGATTAGGTGGGTCATTGCAGCTGCATTCAAACAGAAAAGTCCTTTCCCAAAGTTACTGGTATGAACTTACTCCACAATGCATCAATCTATCAAATCCCAAGAAGTCCTCTACTGCAAACCCACCCATTCCAGCCTCTGCTTGTCTTCCCTAGGAGAATCAAAGTTAGGCACAGATGCTTTAGTCTAATGCACCAGTGTTGTGCTTCAAACCAATAGAAAAGGACAAAGAGAAGACGGGAGCAAGAAGGGCTGCAGAAATCAGGCCACAGTCTGCTTTCCCATGGCCAAAAGGGAGTTTCTAGGGAGCTCCAGTCCAGCTCATCTTTATTTCAAAAGTTGGTTACTACATTGCAGGCTTCTGAAAAGCAGGAAGCAAATAGCCTGTCACAAACAATTGAGAAAGCTTACTAGAACAGTAATGTTTGCTGAAACCAAAATGAGCTTGTTTCAATGTTTGTCATGTAGCTTGAACATTAGAACAAACACTGAAAGTGAATGGCTTGTTTACAGTCCACGCTCCCATTAAAATCCAAGCTTCAATTTACATAACTCACCTTATTATTCATTATTAGTACTCATGTGGGAGCCATTTATAGTCTTTATTGACCAATGATGGTGGTTGCGTAAACATGCAATCAATACCAGTGGTATTAAGCTAAGATGATAGTTGTGATTCAAGCAAGTTTCCAGCTCCAATTATTCTTCTGGATGACTGACGTGCCAAGATCACTTTGCCATGTCTGTCATTTCTACTCAGACTTCTCAGAAAAGTTGGTTACACAGATCTGCATTATCAGAGACAAACTAGTACATTACTGCATATTTAGCCAAGCGTTCACTGAGGACAATAGCTGATCTGTAACTGGAGGAGGACTCACCCCAGTCCATAAAACCCTTCCCTGCCATAAAATAGACAGTCATCTATCTGAACGGGGCCTACAAGGGTGCTGGAGAGAGACTCTTCATCAGGGACTGTAGTGATAGGGCAAGAGGTGATGGGTTCAAACTGAAACAGGGGAAGTTTGGGTTAGATAGAAGGAAGTTCTTTACTGAGGCACTGGAATGGGTTGCCCAAAGAAGTAATGAATGCTCCATCCCTGGAAGTGTTCAAGACCAGGTTGGACAAAGCCTTGGTCTGCATGGTCTAGGGTGAGGCATCCCTGCCCATGGCAGGTGGTTGGAACTGGATGATCTTAAGGTCCCCTTCCAACCCAAACCAGTTTATGATTCTGTGACATTGTGACTTTGTGTCAGCATTGTTAATGCTGAATTTTTTATCCTTCACATTTTTACTCAGAATTGCTACACCAGTGGTGTGTTAGGGTTTGTGGCCCATTTCCTCATGAGAGAGATGTTTAGAGTCTGGATCTTCAAGAAATGTGGGTAAATTGGAATCTCCAGACATAGGGTAGCATAATGATAGGAAAGAAATACCTCGTTCTCAGGAGTCGGTGCAGCATTGTTTTAGGTATCGAGGTTTGAGAGAAAACATTTAACCAGTCCTTTGTCATTGAAGACAATAACAGGGTCAGTTGAACACACAGTCATGAGTATCTCAGTCAGAGCTAACTAAGCACTTAGGAATAGAAATCATTTTTGCTACTACATCACTTGTGATGTAGTAAGAATAATGAATCCAGCTGTTCCGTCTCATGCACCTACGTTTGAAATGTTGGCTTAAATGTTAATGAATGAGCTGAGGCTTTTTTTGGCAGCAACTCCAATCCCTGGAGCCAATGAGTTTGAGACTCATCAAAATAATGAAAGCAAACTGTAGGTGATGGGTTTTCTGTTTTGCTTCGATCTTCCAGCTGAATAAAAGCAGCGCTGGCAGCCAGAGATTGATCTCAATGGTGTAACTAAAATAAGTCATTCCAGCTGGAAATTGTGACAACACGAGTGTCTGCAACATGGAAGGCAAATGTCTCATTTGTCTTTATATTTCTTTTTGATTGATGACTCCCCGTTTTTCTGGAGCCGTATTCTAGCAGCAGCGAACAATTGGCCCGTGACAAGAATTTAGTGTGTAGACAATATGAGGTCTCCCACCCTGACTGGGATCTGGCTGAAGGAGCTTTGCACAGAGGGAGGCAAGAACTACCATCTTTCCTGCAGTTGTAGGCAATCATCTCGGGAGCATCATGCCTTAGGAATTACCTTACTTAAGGGAGTCAAAGCCATTCTGGAAAACAAAAACACATTGTAAAAGAGTTATCATCAGGAGGCAGCTGTATACCAGCCTTGTGGTTAGGACTCTTGCCTGAGATGTGGAAAATGTGTGCGGGCTGTGAATCAGCAGAGGCTGGAAAAGACCAGTTGTATCCTCAGCTGTAGGCACAAGCCAATGTTGTGTCTGGGTGCTTTGGGAGCCCTGAGAAGGAGCAGTGATTGACAGCATGGCATAGGCAGCGCAGGAACGTGGGTGCTCTAAGACCAGGTGACCCAAATGCTACCTAGATCCCAGGTTGAAATGCAGCATCACTGATCCAAACATCTCCCTGAGTCATTATTTCAATGAAAAGCTAAACTTGTAGATAAGATATAAAACATTTATCATAGAAGCCACGCCAGCCTTCCTTTCTTTCTGCCTTCTTTCTTTACATGCTTTTCTCTCCTTTCACGTTGCTCCCACGTGAGGCCCTCTTTGTTCTCTGTCAATGGCTATGATTCATCAGCTCACTTGCTTTTATTTCCTTCTCTGTGCATTTCTTTTTTTTCCCTCTCTCTGACCTCTTTGTTTCCCACAGTAGCTCAGAGCCTGAAACCTCTGCCAACGGATGGGCAGCTACGTTTGAAGGGCTTTGTAAACCCCCAGGTCTCAGATAGTGCAGCACAGAGCTGAAAAGCTGCGGGGTATTTTGCTGATATCTGGGATTATTCTGACCTTCTGCAAGCCATGCAGGGCTTGTGTATCCCTACTTACTCTAACATTTGTACAGCCTGCACTGAGATCTAGTGGCAGCTTCAGAGAGAGTAGTGAGACTTCCAGGGAAGGAGAAAGTGAGCATTAGCTGTTCCATTCTTGCTCACTCTTTCCAGGCTATGTTAGGGCAGAAGAAACACACTGGCTTCACGATTCTGCATCCTTGAAGGAGGCAGCTTGTAAGAGATGTCTTGGTAACATCTCCAGTAAATGAATCAGTGCTGGGATGGGAGGAATGAGAAAGAGGGATGTTGAAGTCCAAGAAAGCAGCTCCTCATTCAACCCTCAGCCTTCCCTTGTGATTTCACCCTATAGGCACTACATAGAGGCACATAGCAAGTTAATGTGTAACCTGCTCAAATAACTTGTGTGGCTTCATAACACTTTAAAGGAGGGATTTCCTTCTCTTCCTCCACAGAGACTTGAAGCTAGACAACGTCCTTTTGGACAATGAGGGGCACATCAAAATCGCTGATTTTGGGATGTGCAAGGAGAACATGTTTGGAGATGCAAAGACAAGCACTTTCTGTGGGACTCCTGACTATATCGCTCCTGAGGTAGGTGTGGGGTCCAAGGGAGGTCAGCAAGATGCTGTGGGACAGAGAACATATCTGACCTGCTTTTGAGCAGTTCCAGGCTGGAAACTGGATTTCAGTTTGACTCAGAGTCTGTGTTGCTGTCTGGCATTGCATATTTGTGTGGCTTATTCATTTTTTGTGCAAATGAGCCTGGAAAGCAAGTGGTGCTTGAAACCTAAGCAAGAAACAAAACGCTTCATGGAAATTCAGTTTGGGCCATGGCAGAAGAAGCTTCAAGAGGTAGGTCCTGAAATTCAGGGACAGGAATGGGAAGCATGTTCCCTCGCAAGCTAACAATAGGAGGCTTCAATGGCTATAAAGGCTCCTTTATAGCTGGTAGGAAGCTGTGGGGACTTTTAAAGCATGATGTTCATCATAACCTAAGAGAGAAAATAGAGAAAGGTGGGATAGAATGTCCATCTGGACTGATTCTCCCTTCTCATTGATTGACCACCTTATAGATAAAGAGAGGCTGCGTCCATAATAAAGCAGAGATTGGGGTTCACCTTCCCCCGGGATATGCTCTGATGCTTAGTCGGATAGCACCCGTAAGCTTGGACTTCTTTCTTACTCAGACGGGTTCTCAGCTGGCTGCAAACACAGCCTGTATAGAGAGCATCCTCCCAGAGCTGAATAAGACACTATATGCTCTGTGGTATAACCTTAAAACTGAGCACAGGCTTGAAGGTCTGCCTAGACAAAAAACAACTAATAGCTGCTGGTAAAAGGGATGGAGATGTTTGGAGACGTGAACAGGAGGGTGGCCATGTATCCTGATTTTCACTCTCTTAAATGCCAGCAGTTAGGAGAGGCATTGCTCTCTGGAGGACAAGTGGGAACTGACTTCTTGACTGGGGTTTGGATTACCTGCTTCTCTGCTTTGTGTGTGCACAATGCCAGAGCACCTCATGTCACCGCAGGAATCCATCCCTGGAGCACAAGTTGTCTCCTGGTGAAGGAGGCTCTAACGCTAAACATGATGGAGCTGTATCAAGGCCAAGCTGTGCTTGAGCTATAGAAGGGGAAGGCAGAGCTTGTAGCTTGTGTAAAGGTCCCGCTCTGTTCCCCTGTCTCCGGAAGGCTGGAGTTTGCATGGGGGCAGTCTCCAGGCTCCATGGAAAACCATACCAACAGTTCCTCTTCTGCAGTTGCTATCTACTGATACCTGGTGGAGCAAAGCTGAACTTGAGCTCTATGTAGCCATGCAATAAAATTGGGTGGTCACAGACACAGACTTCAGCTTGCCCATAGCAAGGTCCTTGCTTCTCCTTATTTCATTCCATATCTTCACAGACAGAAATTTGTTCTTTTTTTTTTTCCTCTCTTTTTTTTTTTCTCCTAGTAAATTTAGATCTTTTGGACTAGATCCCTTCAGAAAGGAGAAAGCTTCCTTAACCTGGTGACTTCACACAATGATAGATCTTATTATGGAGAGGCTTTGACTAATTAGGTGGCAAATTGGGGCCAAAGAAAACATTTTTCACCTCAGAGAAGAACGTACGAGTCATCCATGCATCATGTCTGACATCACTCTGAAATCCATTTATTTGCCTTTCAAAATCTCATTTCCTGATGTTAGTGTTTCCATGATGGATATTGGTACTTTCCAAATAGCTTTTAAAGCTTTTGTTTTTTCCCCTCTCCACTATAATTCATTGATCTTTTACTGTGCACCACAGGTTCGATTCTGATCTAGGTTACATCACTGCTGACAAACTCTTCAAATCAATTGGATTAGTATTGCCTAAGAGCAGACATAAACATGCTCTGCAATCAAGTTGCGATTGTCTTTTATTCCACTGTAGTATGCTTTCATTTAAGAATAAAAAAGCTATTTTCTGATCCTAAAGAAGAAAAAAAGAGAGAAGTCATAACCCATTATCTGTGATTTTACTTCATAGAAAAGAGAAAGACTAAACCAGCTCAGAGTTTTGTTTCTGCACCATCATTTATTTTAGAGATTCAATGGGTGCATATGAAACATTTTACTTCTAAATGGAAAGCACGGATAGAGTTTATGGATCATCTCTCCCACGAGAGGCAGGAGCACTGGACTTGCTGTCAGTGTTTCAATGCAGCTGCAAGCACTGTAATCTGTTGCAGTCTCAGCACCTTGGCTAAAGCCACACTCATGAGAGGACTTTGGGTCAATACACAGGCAATTTAGGGAAGGTCATCACTCCAGCTGACTTCCCCCTGGTCCCCACACACTGGATGTAGCCCTCACTTTATAGCTGAACAAAAAGGAACAAACCAATGGATAGGCTTGAGGACAAATTCCCATCCTCTGCTCAACCAGTCTGAAGATGGCAGATCAACACCTGCTTTCTCATTGTTTTTCCTGGGGCAGCTTCACACCATTTTACTGACTGATAGCCCTACAGTACCCTTCCACTGCCACCTTTGTGACCTTAAAATACAGTGCGAGTTAAGTCAGTCCCAAAATGCTAATGCCTGACCATTTGTCTTCTTGGCTTTCACAAACCTGATTTGAATCCTTGGAATAACTTGGAGAGCAGGCCAAAGATGACTTGTCTCACTTCTTAGGTTTGAGACCTCCCTGGTAGCCAAGGATTCATTCAAGTAACTTAAGAGGTACCTGCAACCTGTTACCTGCAGTGTGAAGGACTGTTTAGGCACCCAGTGGTGGCTGTGATTTGGATGGAGTTCCTTGAATCCCAGCCTGCGCACCACCAGTAGATGCTCTGGTTCATGCTTCAGGCAGAGGGAAGCATCTCTGCTATCCCTCTCAGTGCAAAGTCAGTTGGAAGGTCAGGGTCTGACCACCCTTTTGAAGCTGAAATACTCCTCACGGGCCTTTTGCATCTGACTTTGTTACTCCTCTCTTTGGGCAGATATTGCTGGGGCAGAAGTACAACACCTCCGTTGATTGGTGGTCCTTTGGTGTCCTCCTGTATGAGATGCTTATTGGCCAGTCTCCTTTCCACGGCCAAGATGAAGAGGAGCTTTTCCAGTCTATCCGCATGGATAACCCATTCTATCCTCGCTGGCTTGACAAAGATGCAAAGGACATTTTGCTGAAGGTAAGGATTACCACACGTGGAATGAAAGTCTTTTTGCCACAGCTGTCATCTCTGATCTGTGCATCTTCAGCTGTTGTTCAGAGAAACACCTTTAGTGTGATAGGCCCAGAGAGAATCACTTTTATTGTCTGTGGATCAAAAAGCACACCTGACCTAAGTCATGAGGCTGTCTTTGTGTCTTCTTTCTCCGGAGTTGTGATGGTGCCTTCTTGCATCCAGTACGTAGGATCACAGGGTATCAGGTACCAGCAGAGATCAGTTTCTTTGCAGAGAAATGCCTAAGGCACAAAGCATGTTAAATCCTGGGAAAGTTATTCTACCAGGATTCAAACTAGGGGTTACAGTGACTTCCTCGATAACTTTGGCTTTGAAGCAGTTCTTGTGCCTTAAATATGAGGACATGCAGGGTAGATTGCTTTGGTGTTCAGCTTGATTTTTAGTAGAGGATATTTTGCATCTTTACACTGAGCTAAAGAGCAAGAAAACAAAGCCTGAGCCATGTCCTGAAGTGGCAGAGCTGCTCAAGCTAGTAGCACCATGTCATCTGATTTTTGGCCCTTTGGATCTCTTACATAGTAATGCATAGTGTCCTTTCTGAGTAGAGCACTCTTCTGTTTCCCTCTAGTGGGTATCCTCCTCTTCTTTTAGGTTCCCTTCCATTAATACACTGATTTTTGGCCCTTTGGATCTCTTACATAGTAATGCATAGTGTCCTTTCTTCCTCTTCTGTTTCCCTCTAGCTTCTTTTAGGTTCCCTTCCATTAATACACTGATTTTTTCATTTCCTCCTTCTCAGCTCCTTGCCATTTAGCACTGTAGCCTTCTGGCTTTCGCATGCAAGTTATTCTAGAGATGCCAAAAAGAAATGCAATGAAGTCACAACAGGTTCCCTCCCCTCAGTTGGGCTTTAGACTGATGCTGGACATGATCTAAAGGCATTGTATCAAGAGGGAGCACAGTAAGAGAGCATGTGCAGAGTGTTATAATGGTTCAGCTGATGTGAGGTAGCTTGTTCCTCACAAGATTTTGGTTATATTTGATGTACAGCCCCTACCTTCACTTCTGCATTTACAAAGTGACAGGACAACATAGAGCATTCCACTACCAAAAAATGGAGAACAGGAGATTACTTTAGCATCTGTACAGTGCGCAGCAGGGCTCTGGTGTTTAAGTATCACTATAAAATGATAATGAAAACAATCAAAAGCAGTTTTCCAGGAAGATATTTTGAATGTTTGTGTGTGGGACTTACACTGCCATCTTTCTGTACAACCGACCCATACTTCTGTCAGGATTAGAGTTAGTAATCACCTCTATAGCGATCAATGAACTTCCTGGCTTAGGAAAAAAAGAATTAAAAACTCCATTAAGGGCTATTCTCATTGCCACTGACTCTGGATAATTACATACTCTACACTGCTTAATGCCTTAATGCTTAAACCACAACCATTATCAGCACAGAATTTAACATATGGACTCTGCATTGCTGTATATCAGTTGCCTGTAGAAGACTCCAGTTTTGGCTAAGCTTTGCCCACAGTGTTAACAAAAGCCCAATGCTTGGGTTCTTTTCCAATCTGGCCCTCAATAGTCCATACATCAGATTATTTTGCTGCCGCTTTTGGCATTAGATATTTCTATTTGTCTTTGCTGAGTGGTATCTCTTGTACGCTCACTCTTTGCCGAATGGAGTAGCAAGCAATTCTACTGTATGTAACCCAACTGCATTTTGAGATGAACTCCAATAGTAAAGTGCTTTTGAAGATTTGCCCTTACCTCTGCAGTAAGACATACTGGCTGTGTTCAGGTGCCCTGCTGTCAAGTGCTGCCATTATTCCTCTCCACTGACTTTAGAGGGATACAGAATCTGGTGCTCTATGGGCCAGCTGCAGATATAAAGATGAATTTTAATCTATTCACACCCACCATTACACCAGTACTTCAGGATTGCATCCTGCTCACACACTTTAAGAGGACTCAAGCATTTAGCACTCCCAAAACTCTCCCCCAAAACCACTTCACTGCTTCCAGAGCCAAACGGCTCCTGCATCACCATAAAAACATCAATGGCAAAACCGGCTGTGTTTGCACTGAACTGAAGAGTGGGCTCACGCCTACATGTAGCTGATGGTGAGAAGATATGCTCCACTTCTAGCTTTTCCCTTATCATCTTCATCAGAACTAGTCATCCACAGGATTTGTAGCCTGCAGTGTGCAACAAACACAAGCCAGCTATCTGAACTGGGAGTCTTTTAACAAAGAAGACTTTGTCAGTATCTGAGCTGGTCAGTGGAGAGAAGCAAGCACTTCCAGGGTGTCTTTTATCTCCTCTTTAAGTGTTTAAAGGGGTCAGAGGATTTGCATCTAAAAGATGACTGTTTATTAGGTGTCGAATGCTGATAGTCCAGGTGTCCAAGGCTGTAGGAGATGAATGCAATCCCACATAGTATTTGTCACAAAATCATGCTTATATTTAAACCATAAAAATACTTCTGATAACAAGAAATTGTGCAGACAAACCTTTACAAGTGCAACATTTCACCTGCGTAGCTGCATATTTGCGTGCTCAGACACGTCTGTTGTTGCTTCTGTAGCAAATTGTCCTCTTTCTCCTGCAAAGGTCTCTCAGTTTGGATGTGTTCAGCTTAGAACCCAAATTGGTTCCCCCAGTCAGAAATGCAGTAAGGTAGAAAAGTCCACACTCTTTTATCAACCGTGCTTGAGTTTCAAGTCTGAGACCCTATCTGGTAGGACTGTCTCAATGAATACACTGTTATTGATAAAAGACTAAGTGACTTCTCTTTCTTCAACATTCTAGCTTTTTGTGAGAGAACCTGAGAGGAGACTGGGAGCAAGAGGGAACATCCGCCAGCATGCCTTCTTCCGGGAAATAAACTGGGAAGCTTTAGAAGAAAGAAGGATGGAGCCTCCTTTCAAACCAAGAGTGGTAAGGATCCTTCTTCAAACTCCACCCATCTTATGTCTTTCTATCCTAAATCATTTGCTCCCCAAATATTGAACATACCCCCAGACATACCAAGACCCACAGTAATGTTATAAGCCATCTCTATGGGGGCACTGTCAAAATCTTCAGACATGGGTCTTTAATGTCAGAGACCTCAAATCCTGTTTAGATTCATGGAGTCAGCGTATTAAAGGTGACTAAACGTCTGCTTTACACTGGAACAGCTTTAGACACCAAGTGAAGGCTTTCAGAATGTCCTCAAACTTTCAGAGTTATCTTGTGGAGTTGCCCTGCACACGGAGTAGTCTCTCTGTCTAAAAGTAGATGCAGGACCTTGGGCAGGCAGAATGGAAAGCGTTGACTCTTACTTTAATGTCCAAATACAGATTAAATTGTTCACAGGCTGCCAGTATGTAGTGTACTTCAGACACAAGAAGCTGAAACCATACACGATTTAGATCTACTACAGCCTTACTCACTGTATGTTTGTTTATTGGCTGGGCTGCCTGACCTGAGCATCATGACTATTATTATGTGATGGCTACAAGCACAAATCTGGCATGCCCACACCTGAGAAACCATAAATTACTCATTTTCTCAGTTACCATAGAAGGGGTCTGGTGGCCACTTTAAACACCTTCACTTAAACACATAAGTACAGCCCATTCTGTCAGGATTATCTTTCATTGTACTGCAGAAGGTAAAGAAGGAAAAGCACATCAGATAATGAGGTGATCGGCTAAGTCAGGCTCCTCCTGACTGTTCATAACAGTCATAATAAGCTATCAAATTCTTATTAACAACAATAATAAAATTTAATTTGACAAGTGCATCATGCTTTCATTTTACAGTCTTTCACAGGAGTTATTTAATTGATGGGTCTAATCTGCTGTGTTACAAAGCTTCAGCATCTCTGCCTGGCAGAATTCACAGATCTCAATCTCAGTACCTCCTGTATAGTGTTTATTCCCATTACTACTTCAATAGGATGGCAATAAGCAAGTGATTAGCAGTGGTTGCTGGATATTAAGAGCTCAGGCAGAGGTTGACAGGTTGCCCAGAGAAGCTGTGGCTGCCCCATCCCTGGCAGTGTTCAAGGCCAGGTTGGACACAGGGGCTTGGAGCAAGCTGCTCTAGTGGAAGGGGTCCCTGCCTGTGGCAGGGACTGGAGCTGGAGGAGCTTTAAGGTCCCTTACACACCAAACCAGTCAGGGGTTCTATGACATTCACTGCAGTTTGGTATCTTACTGTGCCTCATATGGGCTGGAGCAACTAATCATTGCGCAAAAGGCCAAGAGAAATGCATTTCAGGTTCCCTGGCTGAGCTGAGCTTGCTCCCAGCTAGTTAAGCTGAGCCTGTAGGAAGCAGCCTGATAGGGCCAGTACCATTGTAATGAAGATCTGGATATTACTGGTTTGACGTGAGTTTTGTCTTCTTTTTCTTAAAGAAATCTCCAAGTGACTGCAGCAACTTTGACAAGGAATTTCTAAATGAAAAACCGAGACTGTCGTGTGCTGACAGAGCACTCATTAACAGCATGGACCAAAATATGTTCAGCAACTTTTCTTTTGTGAACCCTAAAATGGAGAAGATACTGTGCTGAGGTCTGCCTTACTGAAAGAACTCTTTAATGGTAAACACTCTCTCACATGAAGACTGTGCATGGTGGTTTTTACCAAGAACCCTCCAGAAAAACACCTCAATGAAAGTTTGTACCATGCCTGGAGGCTTCTGGCTTATTCCAGTCCATAGCAGATGCCAGCTACTCTTCATTATTGATGAAGTTACTTTGTGGTATCTTTTGGTCTCTCTTGTTCTTGAAGTTGAGAGCATCCGAAGAAGAGGAGATGCCAAAACCTGTTCCTCACTACTTGTATACACAGCCAGTGGGTTTCTTTGTAAGAAAAAAACCAACTATATTTGAGTTTCTGGTGATGTCAGTGCCCGTTTCTGCAATTTACACCTAAACCTACCTTCTTCTGAAGGACAAGTGGTTTGCTTGAAGGTATCTGAAGGTATCTGGGCAGACTTTGGGCTGGATGTTTCAGTGACCTCCACTTGTACCTGTGTGGAATTGTGCATGTATGCACAGTTCTAAGAAGCAATTTTGCTCCCTACACAAGTAATGTTCACAAGTGTTAGGGTTCGATTTTGCTCTGCTGGGACAAAGACACTTTGCAGTTGCCCAGTCCAGCATTTGTACATCTCAATCAGAGGCACTGGAGCTAAAGACTCAACCGCAAAGGAAGATCATCCCCATGGCAAGTATCAAGATCAATGCAGAAAGCCAGTGGTTTACACTTAGGACTTAAGCAGGAAGGATGTGGAATTGCAGTCCAGCAGAAAGCCTCGAGAACCCCTGTTTTAAAGCTTTAACTCTCCTTGCACACACCAGACTCATAGCAAAACCTGGACTGGGCTTTCTGGAGTTTTATCCTAAAGGCGGAAGAGGTTTCCTCAAGCAATTGTTGAAGTGTGGTAAAACTGGCCTTCCAGTTTTGGTGTATTTCACTTGAAAGGTAGTAATCAGTCCTTGCAAAGGCTGGTACACTGTCTTTTGCCCTATATGGCGTCTGAGCTCTTTGGCATATATGATGGACACGGGTCAACAAGCTGCACCCAACAGTCACAGGGCAGGACAGCACATCAGGTGAGGGTGATCTTGCTCTTCACCTCATGGCGTTTTGCTGTGTTCGATCCCTTTGCAGTCTGTGGAAATGCAGGGGAGTTTTTAAAAGTCTTTTCTGTGATCCTTTCACCATGGGATCCTTTTCAATGAAGATGTGCTGTTTTCTGAGGTTGGAGGGATGTAGAACTGCCCAGTTGCTGCTTGTCAAAGCCCAAACAGAGGATTCTGTAGTAGCTTAGACTTAGGCAATCACCCAAGTTGTTAGGCTCTAATTGACATATATACATTTGGAGCTCCATTGCACCAATCCATTCAGTCCATGGAGAAGAGAAGATCAAGAAGGTGATCCCAAAATCAGATTCCCTTCCGAGGTGCCTTTCTGACCAGGCTATCACCTTGGATCTCTCACCAGGATGAACGCAGCCTTGCAGGCAGCACTGGGATATCACAGGCAGTGACCGCAAGCACTGAGTCCTTCAGGACCAAGAGCAGAAGAAGTGCCGAGCATCAACAAGAAGGTTTCAGTCCAGTGACTCTCATGAAATCCTTGCTTGTGCTGTGTGAAACTCAGGGGGCATCTGTGCTCAGTTTGTGCAGCTGGTCACCGTGTTTAGTTAGAATGATTAATGTGGGTTTTTTAAATGCCAGTGCCGTTTGTACAGTTTAATAAAACATTGTGTACAATTGGAAAATGGGCTTTGAAGTGATTAAATAGGAGCAAAGAACAGAAGTGCTCAGAAAAGCCATTGAAACGGCGCTGTGCTTTCTGGGGAATGTTCCTCAAGGGAATTTCAACCTGTAAATACACAGGATCAGCAAGCATTTGAGCAACTGTAACTACTTCATAGATCAGCATCTATAACAAGCATTTGGCGCTTGCAAAGGTGCCAAGATGAGAGTAAAACGTTCTTTTTTACTGCCAGAAGGAGAAATGGCTGTAAATGGGGTCTGGTATCTCAGAGGGGTTGCAGAGCCAAATGTGCAGAAGTCATTACTGTTAGAGGGTGACTCAGACCATCTTCCTTTGACACCTGAATGAGGCTGGATCAGCCAAGTGCTAGGACACTGTCCACGTGCTATACGTGGAGTCTGGGTGGCCTGATCCAGACAAGAGATTGCATTTCTAAGCATGTGAAGACAGGCAGTATCCCACTCGAAATGGCTGTTACAGATGTTTCCTTTACAATGGCACAGTGGTTTGGGCTTAACACCAATGGAGGGACACCCCGAGAGGGAAGACAAAGGAAGGAGGGTTCTGAATCACCTCCTATGCTTAAGTAACTGAAGAGCAACAGGGTTTAACACCTCTCTGACCAGAGGCAGGGTTCTCTGCACCCCAGTTGTGGCCCTGTACAGATAAAGCAGCCAAACATACCAGTGACTTGTAAAGGAGGACGTTGCTAGAGCAGACATGGGGTTAGGCTTACTGTAGGGCTTTTGATGTAAACCACAAGAAGTGCCTGCTTCTCTCTGCAAGGCATCTTCAGCGCAAAACCCCAATAAACCCATTGAGGGTGAGAGAGAGGGAGATGGGAACGCGCATGCTGTGTGTCTCACCAGTGCCACAGAACGAAAACCCTCCCAGCTGTGCCTGTGGTAGGTGAAGAGTGACGTGGTAAGCAGCAAGTGTCTTCCTGTGGTGGCGGAGATCGAGAGATAGGAGCTGGTGAGGGCTGAAAACCAAACACCCGCACGGAAATAAGCAGCAGGCCCGGTACCCGCAGAGATGTTTCTTTGCCTTGGATAAACCTGGCCCCTCCATACCCTTCTTGTCTTTTCTTCTTCTTTTCCTTTCCCCTCCTCCATAAAACATTCATTTTATGGCACGGTAGGTGAGACTTGCCAGGTTTGGTTTATTCATTTAAGGGGTGATTCTGCCCCTCCACTCTGCTCTCGTGAGATCCCACTTGCAGCACTGTGTGCAGTTCTGGTATCCTCAACATAAGAAGGACATGGAGCTGTTGAAACAAGTCCAGAGGAGGCCACAAGGATGATCAGGGCCTGGAGCACCTCCCATACGAAGACATGCTGAGAAAGTTGGGGCTGTTCAGCTGCATGAAGACCTCAGAGCAGCTTCCAGTATTTGAAGGAGGCTACAAGGACATCAGGGACAGTAGCGATAGGACAAGGTGGGGAAGTTCAGGTTAGATGTAAGGAAGAAGTTCTTTACTGTGAAGGTGGTGAGGCACTGGCACAGGGTGCCCAGAGAAGTAATAAATGCTCCATCCCTAGCAGTGTTCAACACCAGGCTGGACAGAGCCTTGGTGACATGGTCTAGTATGAGATGACCCTGCCCACAACAGGGGCTTGGAACTGGATGATCTTAAGGTCCTTTCCAACCCAAACCATTCTGTGATTCACTGAAGGCCAAATTTCATTCTGGAGCCCCATGGGATCACAACACTGAAATAGGAGCCTGGCTCCTGCAAACATCAGAGTCTGACCTCCAACGCCCTATGCTTCAGCTCAAGATTTGGAAGTCCTCACCATCCAACTTCTTCCCCAGTCTTGGCTCTTCAACTGACTGATGCACACATTCCTACCTGTTGATGTTCACCAAACCAAACATGAAGCTGATGAACAGGCCAGGATAAGTGGGAATCATCAGTGAGTAACAGCCCTGACTCCAGTCCTCCTGCAAAGGCCTCCAACTTGCTTTCCAGTGGAGGTTGGTTGGTCTCACAGCTCCTCAGCTTGCAGACCAACGGTATGGTTGCTTCTCCCTTAAGGAAGACCAAGCTTCATCCTGTGCCCCATCATGCTCTTTGCTGCCCATGCAGAAAGAAAAGGCAACTTTGCCCAGTGGCTACCAGGCACATCTTACAATGGAGAGATATCACCAGGAGTCCCTGTCTGCCAATACAGCTCAAAACAGTGAATACTACAGGTATACTCTTCCCTTTACTATTGCATTTGTATCTTATACACTTAAAACCCAAGTGAGAGATCACAGCTGGGACCTAAACTGCTCTCTCACTCCAAGAGATGCCAGCTCATCAAGTGCATCGCCTACATCAGTTAAGATCATAATCAATATGTGACCCAAAGCATGTTTTGTGGTGTTGTGAAGACAATGGAGGTCTCAGTGCACACTACAGGAAGCCTTTCTACTTTCCTTGCTTGCAAAGACCCTTTATCTTAGCTGTCTCACAGCAGCCAAGACAGCACACGAAGAGCTGGTGAAACACAGGAATTAATGCATTTCTGGCTCTTCTGTAACTGGCATAGGTTGCAAGCCAATAGTGCTGTACAGCTCAGTGACTGTACCTGACATGATGGGGTCCATTCTGCTGTTTGGTAATGGGCATGATGGAGTCCTTTATTCTCTATATTAACTTGATATTTATATACACAAGGATATGAAATGATTAAAAAGAAAAGGAAAGTGAAACAAAGAAAAAAACATTGAGTTGTAGAATATGAAACAAGCACAGAAAAGGAAAGTAGGGAAGAAAGGAGGGGTACAGGTTGATATAATCTTATACAACATTTCTCTTCATTCCATGGTTTCAGTTACAACCCTGCTGTTTTCCTTCAAAGTCACCAATCCTGGAGCTGCTTTTGTAGCTGAAGCAAAGGATTTTTGAGATATCAGAGGGATATCTCAAACAGCCTGCGACTAGAACAGATGAATGGCTCTAATCTGACCTCTTGGGTAACAGAGAGCATCCGTCCTACCCCGACATCTTCCCCAGAAATCCAAGTATTTCTGTCCTGAATCTGGATTCAGATCCCAGTTCAAATAACTGCATTTAGCTGTCTACTGCATAGGAATGCAGTGTTCACTTTCAGCCATCTAACATCACTGAGACACCCTGGGGTGTTCTCTGCTTTTGCCACTGGGTTGCAAAAATGCCATCTTATTGACTCCTGTCCTAAAAAACACCTGAGACAAACGGCCTTTTCCAAGAGCAAGCCTGCATCTGCTGAGCCTATGGCAGGCACACTTGGTTTATATGCATGTGGTAGCTGCTTGTGGAACATTTGCTGGCACTGAGCTACTGAAACAGGCTGACCTAGAGGCTGGCAATGTCTTCATGGTTTGATCCTGTTAAAGAAGATCCTTCTAAGAAGAAACATCAGAAATTAGTCACCAACATGTTTTCTGTAGTTGCTAAAGAAACTCCACGGAGGAAATTCTCCATCCTCCTGGTACATCCTCATTATGGAGGACCAGATGATGGTGCATTCCCATTTGCATTGACAAGCATCTCCTCTTCTCCATGCTAAAGCAGTGATAACCAGCGAGGCTCAAAGCTCCCTATTTATGGTCTTTGGAGAACTGTATTTGCTTCCAATCTCCACAAGGACTTTCAGTTTCATTTTGAATCTCGGGATCTGGTGAGTCAAAAATTCAAAGCTCTGCCAGAAATCTTTGTCCACCTCCACAGAAATGGTGCAGAAGCTGACTGCAAAACCCTTAACACCTTTTGAGGCTTCCTTAAAAGGCCAACAAGGCCTACATGATCTCTTGGTGGGGTTAAGTTGGAGCAAAACTGAACAATATTCAACACAACTTTGAAGAGAAGCGTGTCTTAGGGGAAAGACAAGCCTGTGGTTAAGGTGCTAGTGAGTCTTTGTAGACCTACATTTATTTCCAAGGTCTGCTATGCATATCTCCTGTGGTCTGGTGCAAGCTATCTTGTTAGGCTTTGACTTTTCTTCCTCTATGAGCATATGCCTAGAGTATATATGTAAGTATATAGAGTCTGAACATTAGTCATCCTCTGTTGCTCTAAGTTGTTCAGGGCTTATGGAATGGAATTCAAGCCCAACTAGCCAGAGTTGCCTGAAAGTCTGTAATCTTTAAAGTTCATGAAAATTTAACTAGCTGCATCCAAACTAATTATCTAAATTTCCTCTATTATAAGTGGAAAGAGTCTGGAAGTATGATTAATCCTATTCTAAGTCAGATAACTGGAAAAGTAGGCAGATGCTGCCCTCTGTTATTGTGTATCACCTTGTTCATCACTTTGGGGTTCAGTAGGGCCTTACTTTCAGGGAGATACAGTAGCACCATTGTATAAAAAAGGAGAATATAAAAATACCTCAACTGGCTGTGAATCAGGCTTTCTTCTTCCAAGACTGGTTCTGAATGGCTATGCTGTGAGTGTCATGGGACTTAGGTCTCTGTTGTGGCACCCTACTTTGGTAACCAGAGCCAGGAACAGTCAAGGGGTTGGTCCATCTCACCACCCCCCTGAGTAGTCTAAACTTCATCACTTTGTCTGTAAGACTTATGGACTGTGTTGCAAGCTGTGCTAAACTCAAGAAGAACATCATCAGCTGCTCTCCTCTCTTTCACCAAGCTAATAATCTCACTGTAGAAGGTTTTTGTGCGGGCTGGTCAGACGTGATCACACCTTTCTAAACCCATGCTGACTACTCCTAATCACCTTCTTGTCCACAGCAAGTTTTGAAATTGCTTCCCAGAGGATTTTCTCCGTCAGCTTCTTAGGGATGAAGGTGAGGGTTACCAGCCTGCAGAACTCTTACCCTCCTCTGGCCCTCCTTCAAGATGGGAGTGACATTTGCTTTCTTCTATTTCTTCTATTCTGCACTTCAGCTGAGGACCAGACTCATGATATAGGTCTTAATCACTTCAAAACAGAAACCTCATACATGTCTGTGTGGCTGGGTATATCCTGGTTGCCATCTGCCTGCAACTCAGCTTAGAAAGCCCCAGATACCA